GACGTGTTTTGGTGGTGCGCGGTGTCCGGAGCACCGCGCGCTATGGACACCACCTATGTTTGGCGCGCTGAAAGACGCGCAAGGAAGGTTCTCAACGATTTGAGGCCGTACTGCAAAATGGGAGTGCCGGGTGGGGAGACAGAGGCTTGAAGTTTCGAGGAATTGTGTCAAAATTCAACATGACATGGTGCCAAAATGCCTCAATTGTTGCTGATGTCTCGTTGTGGAGTCAAGCATGTTTCTTGCGTGATGTGGCAGATGCGCTCTGGAGGCGTTTTGCAACTCAAGCCTCTGTGTCCGTAGTGTCCTTCCATGCCATGAAGACTCGTCCCCTTCAGGAAGCCAAGCGTGCGTTTGTAACAGTCTTGCTGTTTCTGTGTCAGCAGTACGGATTGAAGACCGGCTTCAACCGGAGTAGCGCAGATGCAGAGTTGGAGAAAGCGTATCGTCGGGTCATCTTGAAGGCGCATCCAGACAAAGGTGGCTCCAAGGTGGATTTTGACAAGGTCCACAGTGCGCGAGAGGACTGGCGAAGTGCCAAAAACACCAGCCATGCTCAACAACCTCCGTGTGGTTTGGATGTTTGCGTGCGTGAAGCCAAGCAGTATCGAATTCGATCCACTGCTGTCTTGCTGACGTACATGGGTATTGGGGTTCGAAGGTGGCAAGCCTTCGTGAACTTTGTTGAGTCTTCTTTGCAGACGTGGCAGGCCTTGTACTGGTGTGCCACAATGGAAAAATGCAAATCCGGCAAGTTCCACATTCACCTGATGCTTCAATTCCGGAGTGCTTCAGATGTCCGGGTGGTGCAGAACTTCAAATTCCAGAAGGTCAACCCTAATGCTGCCTGCAATGACCTGTGCGGTGAAGGGCTTTGCCGAAAGCGACTGCAAGAGTCCATCAACAGAGGCTTCTTTTATGTCTTTGCTGACAAAATTGGAACAGTTGAAGCAGCTGGAGGTGGTGTATTGACTGCAGGGAACTATTTACCATCTTGGACTGAATCGTTACTGACCTACCAAGTTTTAGGCAAATGGCCTGAGACTTTATGGAAGCAGTACAAAGTCACCGACGCAGTCTATGAGAGTTACTTGGTCCTCTGCCGCGATGGAGTTCCAGCTCGCCTCCGGAACCTTCGAACTTGTCAGGATCTCGCGTCCAAGCGAGCTGCAGAGACTGCCTTGGTCGACCGTGTGAAGCGTGTTCGCAGCAACCCGGAGACTTATCATCCTTTCCCTCCGGTGCCAGCAGCCAGTGCTTGGTTGGAGACCTTCAAGAAGGATGCTTTGCGCTACCCGGTTTTGATTGTGTTGGGACCATCGCGAGCGGGCAAAACGGAGTGGGCAAAAAGCCTTTTCCAGTGCCCCTTGGAGCTGAAGATCGGTTGTCTGACTTTTTTTCCTGATGGAATGCGGCGGTTCCAGCGGGGAGTTCACGACGGCCTGGTGTTGGATGATGTTCGTGATCTTCAGTTCGTGGTTGACCACCAAGAGAAGTTGCAGGGCAAGTATGATCACCTTGTGGAATTTGGTTCCACAGCCGGCGGAACTTGCGCCTTCTCCGTAGACATGTACGGTGTTCCGGTTGCGGTGACCATCAATTACTCCACGGCAAATCTGGATTATCTGACAACCCACGACTGGCTCAGCAAGTCCGGAAACCGGGTGATCGTCCAGCTTCCTGGCGAACAATGCCCAAACGCCTAACTCAAGTTAACGCGCCGCAAATGTTTGCTGATTTCACGATTTATGCCAATGTCTGCCAATGATGCCTACAAGCAATGGTTAGAAAATGGGTGCTATTATGCCGGTTTTCATGTGCTGCAGATGTGGACTGAGTGGAAGGCTTCAGATTTTGATTGTGGAAGCCTGCAAAACCATTCAAGATAGGGCGTGGAGGCATTTATACAAGCTCAGTCCTGAGAGAGCTATGGGTTGAGTGGCAGCATTAGGACTCTGGCTTTTAAAGCCTTCGAAACGGGGCATACGTGGAGGGGAAGGTACCCAGCGGCTTCAAAAGGCGTTTTTCCGTGGATTTCTTGTGACACAAAACCCGCAGGTGCAAAGGTGTTCTCGGTGGTTTTTTTGTTTGGGCTGGCCGCTTCCATTTTCACCTGCAGGTTCAGTGGGAGCCTCCGACTTGTGGCTTTCAGGCCTGCAAAACAGGGCATACATGGAGGGGAAGGTATCCAGCGGCTTCAAAGGTCGTTTCGGTGGACTGTCGCTGCCCGTGAAACAGGGGTGGAACTGGATGATTCCATTTTCACCTGCCGTGGATTAAGTGGAAGCATCCGGATTCTGTTTTTTCAGGCCTTCAAAACAGGGCATACATGGAGGGGAAGGTATCCAGCGGCTCAAAAGGGTGTTTTCCGTGGATTTCTTGTGAAACAAAACCCGCAGGTGCAAAGGTGTTCTCGGTGGTTTTTTTGTTTGGGCTGGCCGCTTCCACTTTCACCTGCAGGTTCAGTGGGAGCGTCCGAATTGTGGCTTTTAGGCCTGCGAAACAGGGCATACATGGAGGGGAAGGTATCCAGCGGCTTCAAAGGTCGTTTCGGTGGACTGTCTGCCCGTGAAACAGGGGTGGAATTGGATGATTCCATTTTCACCTGCCGTGCGTTAAGTGGAAGCATCCGGATTCTGCTTTTCAGGCCGTCAAAACAGGGCATACATGGAGGGGAAGGTATCCAGCGGCTCAAAAGGGTGTTTTCCGTGGATTTCTTGTGAAACAAAACCCGCAGATTCAAAGGTGTTCTCGGTGGTTTTTTGTTTGTGAAACACAGTGGGAGCGTCCGAATTGTGGCTTTCAGGCCTGCAAAACAGGGCATACATGGAGGGGAAGGTATCCAGCGGCTTCAAAGGTCGTTTCGTTGGACTGTCTGTCGCTGCCCGTGAGACAGGGGTGGCGATTGATTCCATTTTCACTTGCCATGGGTTAAGTGGAGCCATCCGGATTCTGTTTTTTCAGGCCTTCAAAAAGGGGCATACATGGGAGGGGAAGGTATCCAGCGACAAAAATTGTGTTTTCGTTACTTCAAATGTATCCGGATAGGGCTCTCAAATTGCCATTGCAGCCCTGTGTGCGCTACGCCCCTAGTAGGGGTAGGTAATTCAGGAGGGCAGACAGGCCCTGTAATCGGGCCTTCGGGCTGTCACATTGTAAATAGGTACGCCTAACTCCCACAGAGTTTGCTGCGTTATCAAAAACCCATTGTTTGTGCCTGAACCCTGACCATACGTCCGCCATGGTCCCCTTCTATGTGGCCAGGCAAGAGCCCACAGTGCGGCTGAGAAGGCTAGATGACGTGACTTGTCAAGCTTTTGGGTTTTCCTCCTGTGTGCGTGTGTGCGCGGCCTAGGCCAGTTCTGTTTCAGCCAAGACCATGCTCAGGTGTGTTGCGCTGCACCCGTTTGTTTCAGCTAAGACTTTGTGCGGCTGTGCCACTTCTACGAGTGAATTTGCCCGTTGCTCATCGCTGGCGACTGTTAAAAGGTGGAGAGGCGATTGCAGCGAACGCAGAATGCTACGTTGAGCTTGTGGACACTAGCGTGAACGGACAGTGGTAGTAGCGGTATGGAGTCGGAGTTTAGCAAGGGCGGCAGTCAAATATTTATTAACTCTTGGGAACCTTAATCTGGAGCCCTAAAATGCCGAAATTTCTGAGGGCTCACGTAGTGACCTCCACAGT